AGACAGCCCTATTTTACAGATGAGGAACGAATGCTCAGAGTGATAAAGGGACCAGCTTACTCGGCCAGCTTAAGCACAGTTTGGTGCCAAATGATCTTAGTAACTATAAGATAAATAAATTAACATTTTTTAATTGTCTGGACTTCTCAGTTTTCATCTACTTTGGTTGTTTGGGCGTAACAATGAGTTGCACAGATAGAATTTATTTTTAAAATTTCTTTAGAGTCACACAAGTTAGATTGCTCTCCACCAACTAGTTCCTCTAAACCTTTATAGTTCAAATCCATCAGCCTCTGCAGATTTGACATTTGATCACAAATTGCTCATTCTGAAATGACTTGAAGCACCCCACATTAAAGACACACTTAGAAATCCATCTCTATTCCATTTTAAGAGACTTATACAAGAATCATTTTTGATCTTTTCTAAAGTGAAAATGACAAGCCATACTCCACCACCATGAAATAACACAAATGTACAATTCTGTTAAAAACACAGAAACACCACTGATTGTTTGGTATTTAAGGGAAACACATAGTAGTTTCATTTGATTTTTTCATTTTGAATCCTGCTACTTTCAGACTCTGAGTCTCTTTTCTATCCTCATAGTTTCTTTCTTTTTAATGATCATCAAAAGCAAGAAACAAAGAAAAAGAAAGAAACTACATTTTGTTTCCAGGATTGAAGACATTTTCCCTTTGGCATGTACCCTAATAAGTAGGAAAAATACAGAATGAATGTTACTGTGCTGCTTCAGTAACTTCTAAGAAATCAATATAATTTTGGTTTTGCGCTACAACTCTGAAAGTACATTTGATATATCTCTTAGTCATTGACAACTGTTTTTTTTTTTTTTTTTTACACTCTGAAGCAAAGTTATCCCAGTTGAGAATATGTGCCTGCAGATGATAAAGCATGGTAACTTGAACTTGCATCTTCTTAAAAAGAGATGCCAAGTTCCCAGATGGATGCTAGAAAGGGCCTGTTCACAGAAACCTCACCAAGCCCATGGCTGGTTTGTTGGGCCAAATAGTCTTAAGCCAAATAAATGAACTTGCTGCCACTGAAAACAGTATTTCAACCCTTTCATGCCCTTGGTTAAGGCAGATTTATGGGAATCTCTCTTTCTAATATTGTATATGATTCTTTAAAAGTAAGCAGTTTGTTGAGTTTTGTACCTTTTTTTAAAGGAGCAGAAGGCTTTCAAAATTTTAAACAATAACTGTGTATTTACAGGTTGCATACATACAATCAAATTGCCTAGTTAATAAGCAAGATAAGTTTACTCAAGGAATTCATTGTGTTATGTAAACTTTCCATGAAAGAAAGAAAATCTTAAGTGTTGCAAAGGTCTTCTAGTTTAATGGCAATGCCTGTGAAGAAACAATTATAAAAGGAATAAAAGATGAAAAGTGGCAGAATTATGTTGATTTTACATGTATATAGTAACCAGTGAACACTACAAAGAAAGTGATGATCAATTACAATAGTCTCTCCAGGTGGGCAAAATATGGAACTAACGGCAAGAATTTCAACTGTGGTCAGGCATAATGAGTGATCTTTGCACAATTAATTTTTTCCTAGTGCTTCGGCCTCTGAAAATTTCTTCATTCTATAGGGACCTATGTGCATCTGCCTAAAGGATTCATATTTGCAGTTTAAGATCTCAGTCAAGGGATGCGAAACATGGGATTTCCTTAGAGTTCCTCAGTGTTCACAAGCGTCTCCATTCCCATATCTCTGCACTGCTAGTATGAGGACGAAACACTAGGGAGCCCTTGAACTTCAAAACTAGATCTGTAGGAGAAAACATGTGCCAGTCAGCAGAGTCGAAGCCTCCTTTTCCTCCTCTGCTGCCTCAGCTACGGCACTTAGAGTGTGCATCCTCTGATCACCTTCACTGTCGGTGCAAAGTGGAATTGATTAGACTGCATGGAAGAGACATTCACTGATCTTGGAACAAACGTCATGTGCTGTACTCCATTTCCAGTTGCCCTGCACAGAGATGAGCCGACTTTGACCAGTTCTGGCCAAGGATCTCTGAGTAAAGATGCTACACAAAGCGCCAAAGCATATAAGAGTTAGCACATGACAGACACTCCAGCTCTCTTTTCTCTGTCTCAGTGACATGGAAGATGAATGTCCAGGTGGTCAAAATCATATACCATGGAGGATTGTATCCCTTGGCAGGGAGATTGGAAGGCTACTGACCCTGAAAAGCCACTTGTCCCTTGATAGTTTATGAGTAGGGAATAAACTTTGTGTTATGCTACTAAATGGAGAGAGGGTATTACCCAGAATAACCCAGTTGACTGTGTTGATGTACATTAACTGCTGAGATAAAATAATCAGAAGCTAGACTAGGATGCACAGGCTAAACTACAAAGATTTATTTTGATACCCACTGCACTGGAAGAACTCTAGAAAGTCATTTAGGTAATCCACATTCCAAGGGAAAAAGAAGGAATTTTTTCATCGGGGGTAAAAGCTGGGAATAAATATATGACTTCCATTGGGATGCTTTTATGCACTCCAAGATACATCCTTAATGCTAAGTAGATGCATAATTGGTTCCGTGTTTAGGGACTCTGAAATGTTCCGTGTCAAAACTGTTTGCTGAAAATGTTACATTTCGATTCAAAAAGCAATCAGAGGTTGTTGAAAAAATCTCTAGGATTTTGCAGTGTGCAGTTTTCCCCAACCGGCCTAAAATTAATCATTACAGGAAAATGATTCCAACTCAGCCATTCTTCCATAGTCTAAACACTAAATGCGACATCATAATTCTGCAGACATAAATTCCCTCATTATCTGTGGACCAGGTCAACCACAGCTCAGAAAGCCACCCCAGCAGGCCTCTGAGCAGGGCCTTTTGCAAAGAAAAAGCGTGGTCCTCAAACAGACTCACAGTTAGGGGCTCCAGCAGGCTCCCATCATGCACAGCAGCCAACCTTTATAATTGGGTCATTTGTTCCCTGGGTGGTTTGCACAGAATGTAGACTTGAGGCTACTACTCTCAGAACAATGTGCCTGCTTTCCCCAGCTGTACCAACAAAGCAGGACAGAGGTGCTGGCATTTAAAACCCTTCCGGGCATTCTGATCCCCTCATACACTGATTTGAGCTACTCGGTAATTCTGTGTTATCACAAGAAGCAATAGTGCCTAATGTTAAGAAATGGTCTCTGGAGCCAACCTGTCTGGGAGGAAAGACCTCCCCCACCTCTTCCTTGGCAAGCTAGTATTCATTATGAACTTTAATCACTTCATCTCAAAAGGGGCGACCTAGCTACTACTTAGGGTTCTTGTGGAGACTGTGCCTGGCACAGAACAGACATTTGATAAATTTTAGCCATTACATTATAAAGTATGTTGATCTGAAGTATCAGTGATATTTTATTTGACAGAATTATCATGATGGTGATGATGACTATAATGATAATCACTTATTGTGTGTGCCTGTCATGCTACTAAGTGGCTTATATGGGTTAGCTCATTCAATCCTCAAGGCAACTATTTAGACTCGTATCTCCTTTGGGTGGATGAAAACATTAAGTTTTAGAAAGTTTAAACAGTTTGCCCAAATCAAAAAGGCAATGAATCCAGAGTAGAATCCAGGGAACTGACCCCAGGGAATTGACTGGGGTAGCTTGTACCCCAGTATGTACTCAAACAGAAGCACAGTCATTAGTTGTCCTTACACTGACTTGGGACCATACCGTAGGACTGTTTTTCCCACATGATACCACAGGTTGCTTGAGAAACCTCAGTGGCAGCAGCAAAAACCTGCCAGAGAACTGTACCTTCTGGGCACCCTAGCTGCTGAACAATCAAGAAAATGCAGAGAATAGAAGTTGGGGATTCTGCCTGCTAGGAACTTCTTTCCAGACGAATTAATGTGAAAGTGGGTAGCTGTGCAAAACAGAAAACGATGCGAAACAAGAAGCAAAAACCTTCCAGATAGCAGAGGAGTTCAAGGAGAACATACAGGGCACTGTTCCCTTTTACACCTGGCCTGAGGTTCAGGCTGTGCCCAAAAGCTGAAGGGGTGTGTATTGCAGCCAGGGATGGCAGAGCAAAGGGCAACCTTCAACCACCCATCTTACTGCCTGTAAGTGATGGAGTAAATGAACCCATTATCCCACCCTCTGAGCATAGTCTCCTCCTCTGTGCACCTGGGGAAATTCACTCATTCTCCCTTACTCAGAGACCTACGGACTCTCTGGATGTATACTGTTTGGAGAGTCTGTGCTGTTTGATTCGGAAATTCTAACTCACAAGGAGCACAACCTTCTTCTGGCCTCTCTCCCTTCCTAGAGAAAGCCTATCACCTCTGCGCTTCCAAAGTGTCCTGGGCCAGCCTTTGTCACCTTGAATGTATCATTTCATTCCTGGATTTTGAAAGAAGAGGGTGATTTGTAGGAACCACATCATGCCACATCATCACTAAAATATTAAGCATTGGGGCTGGGATTGTGGCTCAGCGGGAGATGGCTCGCCTAGCATGGGTGGGATCTGGGTTCGATTCTCAACACCACATAAAAATAGAGGGATTGTGTTGTGTCCATCTACACATACATACACACACACACACACACACAAAAAAAAAGATTTTCTCTCTCTCTCTTTTTAAATATTAAGAGTCTCCCTTTGGTTTCAGGAGCTGTAGGGACAAATCTAGGAGCAAAAGGTGCTTCTGGATCGTCCCTGTCACTTCTCAACCACTGAGTCACAAAGGCTTCTCTTCTTTAATGTCACCCTGCCTCATTGTGCTGGGCTGTGACTTTAGTCCCTGGTTTTAAGAGGATTCAACATCTCTACCTTATCCTGACATCCTACCACACTGCCAGGCTCGTACATGTGATTTTCTTTGGTCTATGAAATATAAACATAAAATATTCACGTCCAGAAAAAGCCTTCAGTGTGCTCCCAAGGCTCAAACAACCTTCATGTTTTTGTCCTCTGCAGTAAGAATAGCCTGGCCCAGAGGAGAGCTTCTCCATCAGCCTGTGATTTTGAATAAGAGACCCAGGCCACAGCCAAGCAGGACCATTGCCAATCACAGACTCCTCAGTGGGAAATCAATATTTGTTTATTTGGTTGTCTGTTGCTGCAGCCAAGGTTAATACACAAATTATGTAACAACCTAAGCTCAGCCACAGCTTGTCATATGCTGCAGGGAAGCTGGGGATCCTAGAGGCTGGCTTTCCTATGTGGAGTAAAAGCCTATTCATGTATGAAGTCACCAGACAAGGGCAGAATCAAGAAATGTCACGAGAGCAAGAACCCTGGAGCCTGGAGCCCCTGATCTGAGCTGTGCCTGAAGACTCAAGGTGGACACAATGTTTTAGTGAGGTAAGACTTTGTTTTACTTGAGCTAGTTTGGCTTAGTGTTCTAATCTGATTTAAACAAGTATTGACTTATATCAGGTCTCCTCACTCCTTTGCAGTGACATCTGATGGCATCTGGAGCCCAGGCCTATATGATACAGTAAGTAACAGCGATCACATGGACGAAGTTACACTAGGGTATAAATCAATATAATTGAATAAGCCTACTTTGGGCCAAATTAGATTCCTCCCTTACCACCAGCTCCAAAAAGAAATGTGAAGTCCTAGTTGCTACTATCACAGAATATGATCTTATTTGAAAATCTTAATTAGTATAAGATCATACTGGAGTAGGGCAGGCCCCAAAACTTATATGACCCATATGCATAAAAGACACCTATGTGAGATAGAGACATGGGACAATGTCATGTGATTGCAAAGACCAAGATTGGATTGTGGAGTTACAGCCAAGGTACATCAAGGATGTCTAGAAAACCAGCAGAAACTAGCTACAGGCAAGGAAAGGTGTCCCTATAGTTACAGAAGGATCCTGGCCCTACCAACACCCTCATTTCAGATTTTAAGACCCCAGAACTGTGCAGTAATAAATTCCTGGATTCTTAAGACTCCTAGTTTGTGATACTTTGTTATGGTGGTACTAGCAAACTCTTACAAAGTTCATCAGATGAATTTTCACCACCAGATCTCATGGCAAACTTCTAATGGAAATCACCATAGTACCCCATGAAGGTTATCTTGACATATCTGTGTTTGTATAATGTCCAAAAAGATTTTTTTTTAAAAGTCTATTTTTTTTCCTAACAGAATGATCATGAATACTGGTTGTGAGATCAGAAAGCTCTAAATTTAAGTCCTAGTTTGTCATTTTACTTTAGATGATTTCTGACAACAAAATCCACATTTACACCATTGAATAATCCATGATCTCTTTCATGATATTTTATGACACTTACATGAGAAATACATAGGAAGTATTTTTCACTGTATCTGGTAATATATAGTGTCAAATGATGGAAAGAGAAGACTCTTACTCAGTTTGGGCTGTTATAAAGAAACATCCTAGTGTGTCAGTTCGAGCTGTTGTAACAAAAAATACTAGTGTGGGTAACTTATAAATGACAAATATCTATTTCTTACAGTACTAGAGACTAGAAATCCAAAACCAGAGTGCCAGCATGGCTGGGTTATGGTGAAGGCCCTCCCTCTCCTTTGTTGAAGACTATTGATTTCATTGTATTTTTACATGGAAGGAACATTCTGATCTACTCTCATTAGAGCACTAATTCCATTCATGAAGCTCCATTCTCATGGGTTAATTCGCTCCCACAGGTCCCCACCTCCATATACCTTCATCCTGGGAATTAGATTTCAACATAAATTTAGAAGGGGTGCAAAAATTTGATCTACTATATAGATAAATAGGTAAACCCAGATATGTCAGTGCATCAGTCTATATATAAAGATCTGTACTCTATTTAATTAAATTTTATATGGGTATATAAACTATTGGAAATCAAATAGTGAATGCTCTCAACAAAGTTCCAGTTTTTAATTAATTAAACCATGTGATGTTGGTGATTTTCCTATTGTTTTCAAATTGAACTTGCTCAACCGATTTTATATAAAAATGCATAGATACCACCTACTCATGTACACTTGGTTCTTTAAATACCCCAATCTTCCATCTTTGCAAAGTCAATCTTTCCCTAAGAGTTACAATCTCCTCCCAACACATTGATTATGTGGATCAAAGGCCTCGTGACTTACATCAGGCTGGGCCAAAATAGTCATTACCATAGATTTTCCACTTTCCCTCTTTAATGGACTAAGCTTTTAGGATCTGGGTAATGGTTTGGATGTCAAACAGGACCTAAAAGCTTTTAAGGTGCAGATAAAAGTAAGAATAATATTCCTTTCCTCTACCTTTTCCCACCTTTTGTGTCCAATTCTAAACACAAAATTCTATTCTTCATTCACCTTCATAATAAGGAGAATTTTTGTGTGCATCATTTCTTTCATACTTGCAAAGATAAAAAGAGGAAGATGATTTGTACTAGAAGTTTTTGACATATTTATGAATATTACCATGAACTATCAAGAGCAAACCTAATTCTTGGGTAGATCTGTCCAAGGTAACGGCTGGAGTAGTCTAGAGTTCAATATACACTCATTATGTCTTCCCAGAGATCTAGCTCAAAACTCAATTTGCTGCTAGGAGAACTCTCTCTATATATCACATCACTCTATTGAGAGGACTCCCTTTTGAGATGCTTTAGTTCTTTGACATTGTAAAAAGAAATTCCAGGATGGAATATTGAATGACTCAATCTGGTCACATGATACACATCACTAAAGGAATAGGAAGGAAGGAAGAGGAGCACAGGCAGCTTGAATGTAAGGCAAGGGGACACAAGTCATCTAGGAGAAGATGTTTCCAGATGTCCCCAGAGAGTACTATCTAGATGAGCATTGATTCTTACCATTCTCTCTCACTCACTAAAGCACGTTAAATCAAGAATATCCATGGGAACCCACGAAGGCAGCACACTCTGGATGAAGTTCTCTCCCTGAGTTTAGGAAGTGGATAAGACTCTGTGGTCAAGGAGACTTGAAAGACTAAAAGGTACCACTCAGTCTTACATGGGGGCAGAGGAGAAGGCTTTTTGCCAGATGGTGCAAGAGATTAGATGAGCAGACAGTCTGTGATTCTCTAGACATTTCACAGGTGGGGCTTCTTTGCATCACCCTTACAGTTAGGCTGGGTCTTCTCGTCCTTTGTGACTGCTGCACTGGAAGAAAGTGAGCCACACTGCGTCCCTTCAGAGACACTCAGGGCTGCTTTGATGCACCTTTACTGATTCGGCTAACTCAGTGGGTAGGTGGGGGGTGGCAGCTGACTGGCAAAGATGTCAGTTACAGAGTCCCCCACAAACCTACTTGGGGTTCTTTCTTCCTTCCAGCTGACCCGTGCACAGGGCAGAGGACTTTGGCCCTGAGGTTTTCCTCCTGCATGACAATGTGGAGCATCATTAGAAACCACATTATTATAAAATGAACAAGTTCAAGCACTACTGCTGCAGTGTGGCAGCTGAAGTCCAAATTTTTTTTTAGAGTAATTGAGTACAGGCTGTTAACAGGTGCAGCCACTTCCGACAAAGGGGAAAGAACACCAGCCATGTGTGTTACACATGGACCCAGCAGGAAGTCGCCTATCAAGAGGAACACAGACACAGGGCTGGAGGGGCCTGAGCAGCGATGCCAAGTCTGAGTGATGACTAAATGAGGCTCCTGAAAAGCCTGGAAGGACCTGGGCTCGTAATTAAGACATGCTCTCACCTCCACATGGCACACTGGTACTTGCTCTGGTGCTATTTCTGGTCTTAAACATACTCCAGGTCAATGTAATCACTTCTGAAATTGTATTCTGCATAATATTAGTGTTTGGTGAAACCCAAAGTGAATTTTCTGTGGGAAAGAAAAGAGTTCTTTTTTTTTTTTTTTCAAATTTGCTTAGGAAACACTACTTTGTACAGGTTTGTTCTGGAAATTCTCAGGGCACATTATTCTATTTAAAAAAAAAATGTCTCAATAGTCCTACCATATGAAGGCCTGATTCTTTTCAAGTTCCCTTGTCCTGAACCAATGCCTATTTTCATAAGATCTTTTATAAATGTCTCATGGAGTACTAGTTGAGAAGCTCTGGTTTGTAGAGGTAAACATGAAACTCAAGAGAAATGGTTTTCTCTATCAAAATTTGGCAAAGGTCTTCTCTTCTCCTGTCACTCTTTTGGTTCAGGTTTCTATGAAAGGTCATGTAGCAGAGTAGACAGGAGGGTAGGTTTTCAACCCGACTGCTTGGGCTGGGATATTGTCCCCAGCAGCCATTAGCTACAGGATCTTGTCTGCATCCAGTCTTCTCATTAAAGGCAGTGGGAGAGGGGAGTGATAACCACAGAATCTGCTCCAGAGGGTTATGGAGACAGTAAGGCAAGCACAGCCCAGGTAAAGAGTTTAGAACTGTGCCTGGCACCTGTAGGCCTGGGGTAGGTGTTCGCTGTCTTCCTTATCACCGACACCAACATTATCCTGTCACCATCTCCCATCCATTGTCTCAGATGAAAACTCTGAGAAAGTCCTTTCATCTCTGGCTTCACCACCCCAGCCCACTGCCATCACATCTCCTGATAGGCGACATCCTGTTGGGTCCATGTATAACACACATGGCTGGTGTTCTTTCTCCTTCGCTGGAAGTGGCTGCCCGTGTTAGCAGCCAGTGCTCAGTTACTCTAAAACAGAATTGGTACCCCTCCTGCCTTTGGAAAGACTTTGCATCTCTAGTTTTCTTAATCAGCACCCTTGTTCTAGGCTGAGATTTTTTTCTTCTGGGGATTGAATGCAGGGGGCCAGCCTTTTTTTATGTTTTATTTAGAGACAGGGTCTCACTGAATTGCTTAGGAACTTGCTGGGTTGCTGAACTCAGGATCCTCCTGCCTCAGCCTCCTGAGACTTTGGGACCAGGCTGAGATTTTACAGCCTTCCTTTACTTGGGATCCCCAACTTCTCTCTCTCTCTCCACGCATATATCCTATTCCTGTTGCCAGACAGACTTGTCTAAAACCCTACTGTCCTCTCGGCCCCACCCTGTTTAAGAACCTGCAATGGTTCCATCTTCACTGCCCAGATGGGAGAGTTCAAGGTGACTTTGGATTACAAACCAACTCACACTTGCTTTTACAACCTCATTAATCTCATTCCCAGACATTGCTCCTACTGTTCCTCCCATGTGGAAAGTCCTTCCAAGTTCCTGCAGTGACTCAAATTTCTAGTATATTCCAGGACCCAGCTCACTTCTTCCTCCCAGGGCCTTCCCCAACCTCCTTCTCTGGAAGGAGAGCTATGGTCTGCTCTTCTGGTTTCACATCCTAGCTCCACAACCAAGCAAACAGCAAGATCTTTATTCCAACTGTGTAACTCCTCCACGTTTTAGTCGGCTTTGGTGTAACATGGAGATTAATAATCCTCTTTTTACAGGGTAATTACAAGGTTTAAATGAAAACACTGTGCACACAGTCACATTCTTTCCCAGAGTTCTCTTGTATGTCTTTTGAGGAACCCTAGATAAGGGCTCTTCAAAGAATT